CCAATCATTGGACGTATTACTCATCTAGCATGGGCAAATAACTTGTACTTCATGGCTCCCTCGATGGAGGCGATGCAAGCCATGGCGCAGGACTTCACCGATGTATTGGTGTCGATGTCGATGCAGTGGAAACTAGCGTTCCTCCAGTATCTCAACACATGCCGCGGCACTGGTGGTATCGAACTGTGGCAACACGGTCGCCCATTGAGAGTCCAGCTGGTCCAAAAAGTGGAAGTTCTTGGCACTCTGATCGCATCGTCTTGGGATTCTCTTATTGCTGTCTGGCATCGCTTGGCCAAGGCATCTGGCGCTTTCTGGCTTTTCTCCGACGCGTTGCAGTGCAAAGCTTTGAGTGTCGCCCAAAGGTGCGCTGAATTTTCTAAACGCGTTCAGCCTGTGGCTTTGTATGATGCTGGTGCGTGGACTTGGTGTCGGCGTGTCTACGATGAGCTTTATCGACGAGAGAATGCGCATCTTCGTCGCGTGGGATGCTATCGCCGCCGTCCCGAGGAAGACTGTGTGCAACACCTCCGCCGCAACACGCGCTTGTCACGAAAAGCTTCTCATGGAGCAGGGTGTGCCAGCGTCATTTTGCTATTCTTGGACGCTCTTAACAGAGTCGCTGGCCGTGGCTTTGCTTATGTATGCATGGATTGCAACGGCGGGCGCACTGAAACGTATTACACTTTGGTTGCGTTTCGTGTTGTTGTCCCATGTGGTCTGGTGCCTACACAGTGCTTCGTTGCTGCATGCGTAGCATGGAAAGCTGCGGAGTGGTGGCGCGCTGTGTAGACCATTAGTGCCATCGCGGACCCAACTAACCAGGAGCAGTGGAGGCATGACAAACCCGGAAAGCACTTCAACTGGGAAGCCGTTTTCGTGCGCATCTATGGGACGGAGTGGAATTAGTAGTTGCATCAACATCTTGGTGTCAACAGCGAGGAGTTTTCCGGGATGCTGCGTGCAAGTTGTTGTCCGAGCGCCCGTTGGAGGATCGCTTCCCGAGAAGACCGAGTTCGAGCGCTTCCGTGGGTATTATCAGACAGCCCCGTGCAGTCGTGCGCATGCCCATTCCATGGACGCGAGGCCCCTCGCAATGTCACGCTTTGAACTGGTGGGCGATAGCATGTTGATTGTAATTTGGATTAACAGGGCATGGAAGTGCAATCATCCTGTTTACGATGCGAGGCTCACGTTTCTAGATCGTGCTGCTGAACGTTTGTGAAGAGATCTCTGTTTCCAACCGCGTCAAGTTCATTCTGATTGGTGTCGACACGTTTTTCGCGAACTCAATCAGGAGGCGGATGCGATGGCTGATCGGCATGCTTATACACATACTGAGTACATCACACCCGCAGGCGACGCACCAGATCTTCTTTTCGACTGGGCTCATTTCGACGGCAGCCGCACTACAAGTGGAAGTGCTGGCGGATGGGTCTTGTATGGCCCCAGGGACGTCGTTGACGACGACCCGTCTGAATGGACGAGGGTGGCTGACATGAGTTTTGCCTTGGATTGCCGTACTACCGTCACCGCGGCTGAACTGAAAGCTGCGCTTTGGTGTGCTTTGTATTTCTGTGCACGTGTATCCGGTCGCGACGAATTGATGCGCTTCCTGGCCACGCACACGACGACCGATTTCTCCATGTTCCCCGTCCTGGGGATCTTAGGCCTGTGTTGAAGATAGGTGTCCGTCTTGCTTGCGCGTGTGCAGTTTAGTTTTTACTTCGCGTGCGTAATGACAGGCCGAGCTGCATGTGCATGCGACTGCTGCCGAATCGCTTGCGATTGTACTGGCATGGAACGAACGAGCGATGATGCTATGCTGATGCTGATGATGCTGATGCTGATGGTGCTGATGTTGCTGATGATGACGACGATGCTGCTGATGATGCTGGTGGTGGTGGGTTGATGATGATGATGCGGGTGACGATGCTGAAGATGCTTATGTCGATGCTGATGGCGACGACGATGATGATGGTGATGGTGGTTACTGGCGACGGTGATGTTCATTATGGATGTGATGTTGATGGTCATGGTGCAAATGAGGGCTTGACGAAGACGATGATGTTGATGATGTGTGATGGGGACGGTACTGACCATGACGATGATGAGGACGACGATGATGATGCTGATGATGACGATGGTGATGCTGATGATGATGGTGATGCTGATGATGGGGGTCAATCTGAGTAGGAGAACGCTTATTCGGAAGATGCTGGGTATGCTGCTGCTGATGCTGGCGCTGATGCTGTTGCTGATGATTATGAATTTGATGATGACGTTAACCGTGATGGTGGTGACGACGATGATGATGAACCTGGTGGTGGTGGTGATGACGACGAACATGATGTCGGCGATGATGTCTCGATGACGATGCTGTTGGTGATGGTCAGTATC